CTACTACTACTACTACTGTTGCTGTTGCTGTTGCTGTTGCTGTTGCTGTTGCTGTTGCTGCTACTGCTACTCCTACTACTACTACTACTACTACTACCACTACTACTACTACTACTACTACTACTACTACTACTTCTCTTATTTCTGCTCCTGCTACTGCTCTTATTTCTGTTCCTGCTCCTGCTCCCGCCGCTGCTGCTGCTGCTGCTGCTGCCACTGCTAATGCTGCTGCTGCTGCTGCTGCCGCTGCCATCATCGTCAGCATCAGCATCCACATGAACTGCTGATCCTGCGCCAGGCTCCCGAAGCGTCAGCTTCTCCGAGCCGAGGCACCTGGTTCGCGTGCTGTGTCCGCGTAATTTTTTGACAGCCTGTCGTGCTGTTTGCGCTCGAAAGACGTTGCTGCCACTAAGGCCACTAAGGAGTGGCGGGTTATCGGAGGGATACTGTGACTGTAACTTTATCGCTGGGAGCTTGAGAAGACAGAGTCCTGGCATCTTGGAACTTGTTTGGATTTGGTGATCTTGGTCGGCAGGAGTTCGGCACCTTGCCCTTCCCGGCGAGAAGCCGGGGCCCTGATCAAAGAAACGATGTGATCGGATCCGTGATCCGTGTTGGGTTTAGCTTATTTTAGCTTCATTTATCTGTGGCTACTGCCAAAGTATTGGAATTCGCGAAAGTTCCTAATGTGGGAACGATCGAATTGCACTCCGACAAGAGATTCGTACAATGTGAACAGAGCTGATAATTGCGTGTCGAACTAGTTCAATGTGACTGCACGAAAGTGGAGGTTGCAAATTGTGTGCTACATTGGCTTGGAATGATGCCAGGCAGTAGCTGCACTCATACCTGGACTAGCTGTGACGGTCACGCGCTGAGCTGTTGTTTCTATCTTCAGAGATCACCCAGGTTAATTCTATTTGCATAGTTTTGACAGGGTGCGGTGCTAACGGATGCGGACTCCGCATGGGCAGATGGAAGCGTCACTGGCATCGTTGATCAGCTTCCACATGATCCCTTGCCATAGCACTCAGCGCATTTCAGCCGCTTTCTGGTCAGCAGGCATAGATCTGATTGTTGGAGACTCCCGCAAGAAAGCGAAGTATGAATCGCGAGAGGCGGGTGTTTGTGTCGGATTGCAGTGTGTGCTGATCCCTTTGCAAAATCCCAATCTCGTTCAACGCACAGCGATCGCTCATCGCTCACTCATGCAGGTCTTACTTATGTATGCTCGATTGAGCATTCTTTCTCAGAGCAAGTCAAGCGGCAGGGTTTTGTGTCGCACAGGGCGGCTTCCTTGGAGCTAACAAGTTCAAGAAACAGACGTTTTGAACTTAGCGGGCTGGATACACGCAGCTGCTAGCAGCTTGCCACAACTCCTTGCCCCTTCTTTGAAACCTTAGGCAGGACTTCAACTACACGGATTTGCAGAGCTTCCTCCCCAAGCTGCGCGCGTTTGTGCAGGGTTGGTCCGATATTGTGCTCTGACTACTCCTTGGAGGTACATGGCTCGAAGGTCGTTTGAGGTTCAGAACAAACAGCTGAACGACCGCAAGGCGCCACCCCTGTGCAAGCTCCGTGTGCCTCGTCCGGCATGCTGTGGAACAGAAGTGACAGGATGCAGGTTCTTGCACATTTGACATGCTTAGCGGCGGTTTGCAGTCTTTAGCACCTTGCGCGTTCGCCTTGTCATCCTGTGGGCTCAGCCAGTCAAGTCCTGAATCAGCTGAGCACCTTCCTGTGTTGGGGAAGTGGGGTAGAAAACATGGGCATCAAAGGCGGGCAAAGCTTCGATTCGTCACACGCCGTGCCTGGGCCTGGTATCCCTTTGGCGCGAGGCCTCATGAAGTTTCTCCAAGACTCGGCCCCGAAAGCCGTCAAAGAGCAGCCCAGTCAGGCAAGCCGTGGAAAAGCCAGGCATTTGCTTGTGCCTGGCTGGTGTTTGGGCAATTGAGGCTGCATACACAGGCCGGACGGTGGCAATCGATGCCAGCATGCCGGCTGCCCAGCTTCTGATGCACGGGCTGGGGCGAAGACGTTTAGTTGCTGAGGTGTCTGTATCAGTTCTTGATCATGATCAGAGAGAACAGGTCGGGAACGTGCGCCACTGGCTGTGATGGCTGAGTCCTTCAACGGAACAGGGACTTGACATGATAACCTGGCCACGGTTCGACAAAAAGCAATTTGCACAGGTACAACAATCTCACAAATGAGGAGGGACAGGACCGCAGTCGAAGCAGCTGTGTCATGCCCCCTTAACTCATGTGCAGTGGTCTGTCAGGTTACATCTCACATCATTGGCATGCTTACGCGCACGATTCGATTGATGGAGCCGAAGGCTTACACAGTCTTTGCTCTGTGGAGGTAACGATAGTCCTTTACCATTGTTCCCTGCACCCACGAGATCGCTCCTGCAGAAGCGAACCCCCTTGCACACCAACAATTCAAAAGCTCGCGACATCCAACAGTCTCGAGCATGAAAGCCCAGGAGTGGGATCAAGCCCGTCTACGTCTTCGACGGCAAACCTCCTGAGATGAAGTTGCTGGATATCCGGCTCGGGGTACATGTTTGAACCTGGCACTCGCAGCCAGTGATCCGCTGAAGTAGCGCCGGCCTTGCACGACGGCTGAGAGAGGAGCTGGAACAGCGCAGGGCCAAGCGCCAGGAAGCCCAAGCCAATCTGCAGGCGGGAGGTTTTGGGATCGGTTTCGGTCTGCGAGCATGGACTCTGAAGCGTGGATGTCATGTAGCGAATGTAGCGTCGAAGGGGCCGCGCTTCCCGGCGACGGAAGAGTCGAGTAATTTGGCCAGAGGGACTAGCTTTCAAGGAGTCTTCGCAGGGCGGGACAAAGTCACCAGGGACTTGCTTGCAGCGGTGAGCTGGCAGACTCTTTAAATTTGAGATGCGATGGGCATTGCACGACAGGCAGCCATGGAGGCTGGCGACTCCGAGCAGATCTTGAAGAGCACCAAGGTCTTGCATCCCAGCACTCACATGTGCAGCAGACAGAGATCTGTGGTATTGCACACAGCTAGTCAGTTCGCTTCTGAAAAATATTCTTCATGGTTCTGGTAAGCAAGCATTCCTCATGTTGCTCGGCTTACTGCCAGATGAGGTACGTTGCAATGTGGGTGTTCGATGACGTAGCTTGCCAGTCTTCCATCGACATCAATGGGATTGTTCTCGAATGTTCCTTAGGAGTGCATGTGGGACTGAAAATGCCGCTGCAGTGCACGGTGCCCTGGAGTCAAAACGAAGCATTTTGGCTTCGGTGCAGCAATGCTAGGCGACGGTGAAGGTCACCAAAGAGCAGAACGAGGAGAACAGGGCACATGCAAAGTATGGTAGTGGCAGAAGAGTGTTTGCACGCAGGAAACCAAAAAGCTGCTCAGGCTCATGGGTGTTCCCGTCGTGGTCTCCTGAGATCAATGGGCGCAGCACCGAAGGCCAACAGGATCTGCAGGATCTCCAAAAGCAGCCTCAGCACCAAAAACGAACACTGCGGAGTTTGCTGCGAAAGCTGATGATGAGTTGCTTCCCAGGTAGATGCCCCCAGCGAAGCCGAGGCGTGCAAGCCCTAGATGCAGCTGTGCAGTAAGACGGCCTCGGCGAGAGGTGACTCTGGCAAGACAACGCTGCCATAATATCCAGGTCCTCCAGGTACTAGTAGCATGGTGAAAACTAGTCAGGGCGCTTTCGAGCGCCTGAGCATGCTCGGAGCCTGTCAGCGAACCTTTACTATGAACCTAGTCGAACCCAGTACCATCTGCAGCTGAGGACCTGCGCCGCCCTCTGTCGTGACGGAAAGGTCTTTGCAGCAGCCACAGAGGCAGCTCCCCAGCGAATGCGAAGCGTAGGATGTTGCAGTTGCTCTACAGACATACGGAAACTTGCTACAACATGGAGCGCACTTAGTTTGGGTGTGGGGGATTCAATATTCCGTGCAGCAGCGGTGCTCACCGCAACATGTTGCGCAGGACGCGGACTGCTTGACATTCGGCACTAAGATCCTTGTAAGGCCGCATGCTGTATGCGTGGCTGATGTCTGTGACAGTGCACGCATTCGTGCCCGCGCTTGCAGGAACCTGATGGCAGCAGAGTCGCAGAAAAAGACCATTCTTGAGGCACACGTGAGATTCGACGACTTGCTGCGCATCGATTTACAGATCAACTTGAATTTACTGCATGGCTGAGTATTGGCTACCAGGTCAATCTGGCGCTTGTGCTGGAGCAGCGCCTCGGCTCGCGTTGAGTTCAAGCGAAAAGCAGCACTCAGTCTTGCAATGCCACGTCAGCGAAGTGAAGGTTGAACATCACCATGGACCAGTTCATTGACTTCTGTATTCTCTGTGGTTGCGACTACTGCGACACTTTGAAGGGTGTTGGTCGCAACCCTATGCCAAACCTGTGAGGCAGCTGTGTGTAAAGCATCTGAAATGCAAGCAACTGTTCGACGTGTCCCAGGTCCCAGCACGGCAATCAAGCTTCTCATGCAGCACGGGACGCTCGAGAAGGCGGGCAAACGATGGTCCCGATCGAATTGCGGTCCTCGAGTCTCAGGTCCTCGAAGCTTTGGGGTCCGGTGCCTGATCCGTCGCCTTCATGTCGCAGGTCGCTCGTTTTTTGGCCGAGGCCCGAGAAGGTTCCAGCCAACTTTCGCTTTGAGGCCGGACAACGAAGAACTGGGCTTCAACACGGCAGCAAGCATTGCCAGTGCTCCAGGCTGCTCGGATGTTCTTCAAGGAGTGCGAGGCGCGACACATCGTTTCCGAAGCAGGGATTGTGAGACTTGAACCATACCACGTAAGTTGCAACATGCTCGAAGTTTGGAACAAGGCAGAAAGAGAAAATTAATTCAACATCACGATGTCAGACAAGAACAAGTGCTCATCCAAGCAAAGGACAACGGTGCAGGAGGTAGACACGGCACGAAAAGTAAGAAGGGTAAGTCACAAATCGCCGAGGGTACGAAGACGCGTTTGAGGACCAGAGGACACTAAAGAGGCCCTTTGCAGCCCAGGTTTCGACCCTCGAAGCAAGCAACGAACAAGAGCTGGTCGGTCTCATCTACCAGGTATTATTACTCTTGATGATGGTGTTACCTCTACTGCGTGTACTTCCAATGCTATTTCTGTTGCTAATAGCAAAACGGTTGCGTACGGTACTTGTTTTTGGCTCCGATCCCGTGTAAATGCGCAAAACCGACAAGCCGAATATATCGGTGCCGTCGGTGTTCCCGGCACCTCCAAATTCGAGAATTCTGCACGTGCCAAATCCATCGGTATTTACGGCATTTGCTTTGCTTCCAGTACCGCAACCACCGATATTTGCGGTGTTTCCTTTACATCCACGACCCAACCACGACGACGTCCATGGTCTAATCCGTTCTGAGAAGAGAGCATCCATGGCCAAATCATGAAAACGTCCATGGTCTAATCCGCTCTGAGAAGACAGCATCCATGGCCCAACCATGATGTCGTCCATGGTCTAATCCGTTGTGAGAAGAGAGCATCCATGGCCCAACCATTATGACGTCCATGGTCTGTTTAGTTTTGGACAAAGAGCATCCATGACGACGTCCACAGTGTAATCCGTTCTGAGAAGAGAGCATCCATGGCCCAACCATGACGATGTCCATGGTTTAATCCGTTCAGAGAGCAGAGCATCCATGGCCGCTATGGCCCAACATTGATGAAATCCATGGTCTAATCCGTTCTGAGAAGAGTCATGATGATAAGGGTGACGATGGTTATGATGAAGATGCTGAAGGTGATGATGATGATGATGATGGAGGCGGAGAAGATGATGATGATGATGATGTTGCTGAACGATGACCGTTGCTTCGGTTTCATGCTTTTCTTGCAGGAAGCGTTTGTCCCATGCAGGCCACACGAAACAACAAAATGCTAGCCAAAAATCTCGGGGTTCCAAAATTTGCGTCCAGTGTTTTCCCATACAACGGCAAGAACCCACGGAAAACCAAAGCAAGGGCAACGAAAGCCAAGTTGGTGAACTCTGCGTGAAAAAATTGGGTTTTGTCCACGTTCCACGGAAGAACCTGCCTAAAGCCTCGGTAAAACGAGTCAACACGCATGTCCCCGAAACGTGACATGTCGTTCGTCCCATGCAGGTCACGCGAAACGCACGTTGTCGTCACATGTCCCTGCGCATGTTTGCACAGGTGTGGAGCTTTGTTTTTGTTGTTGGAACAGATTCTTCACCACTACAGCTGTCATTCCAACCGCCATAGCTATTGCTGGTACTGCTGCTGCTCCGCCTACTACTACGTATCCTTCTACTTGTATTTCTACTACCGGTGATGCTGTTGATGTTCGGTTCTGGTTGGTATTCCTATCATAGGCCACACGCTTGTGACACTTTGACCAACATTATGGCTCACGTTGGTGGGCAGTGGTCCAAGTACCTCGTCGCGAAGTTTATACAAAAGGACCTATT